GGACACTCAATATTTGACGAAAGTGATAAAAACAAATATCTTAACAATTAACATATAACAAAACAGTGTACTAAAACGTTATGTTTGTGATAATGAATAACAACAGAGGTACATGTAGTAACTAATATTAAACCTCACTTTGTTATCAAGATACTCGATGGAATCATTTCACATAATGATTACAATAATAAAGCTTGCATAGCAAATGTGTTTCCGAGTCTTTGTAATAGTGACATAAGATATTCCCCTTTCAGGAAAACAATCAAAGAAATCTAATGATTTTCAACCTAATATTACTAAAAAGTATGCACCAAATCGCGCCAAACGAGTTTTAAAATTCAAATTTTCTTTCAACTTTTGAGGGGGCCACATCAAAAGGTAAATTATCTATATCATTGACATATAAACAGAAAAGTATGGACCCCTGAGAGACTCCCGTCTTGACATTTAAAAACGATCTTGTTGCTCCTATACAATTGAGACACATTGTTGCCTGTCTTTCAAATACATTATAAACCATTGTAACTCAGAGTCTTTCATACCATAAAAATACATTTTATCGAGGATTGAATCAATTGGAATGATATCAACGCTTGTTGTAGGTCTACAAACAGACAAACATGGGCAATTTTCACCTCTTTTCCATATGGAAATTCACCATTCCTTGTTTCCCCCGTACCTATATTTTGATAATATTTATCACAATTATTGTTTTTTGCAGATGTAGATGACTCATCATTTGCATTACTAGTTTTATCCCAAAATGGGGGTACCTGTAACAAACATTTACGACATTGCCAATCTACAAAATCCTGGAATGGATCGTTTTATTTACATAATGGGATTCGGTCACACTTAATGTGAACCCATTCCCTATACTTTGTACATGCAAGAGCTTTTTGATTTCGTTTTACTGGCTTACTACAACAAACACATGGATACTTAATATTTATTAATACGTATTATTATTTTACTCCCACTTTCTTCCTTCATTTCTGCTGTAATTATCAAATTATGCAAAATGTTATTGTTAAAGGTAAAGACCAGTTATGGTCATGCGATTGCATTGTGAAAGAAACGTTGTGGAATCGATCAGAAAAGGTTGATCATCTAGCATCTAGCATCTACAAGGTTCTGGAATCATCAAAATGATAAGAAATTTGGCCCATTCTTCGTAAAGTTACAAGCACTATACACAGAAAGATGTATATGGGACTACCCTATATCTCTCACAGACCATGAGAGAAACAAATTTACCAAATATATGAATTAGTAGGCGGTTTCCCGGCAAATTTTGTATCATCATGTATTAGTCAAAACATATTCTTTCACATGATTGGTAATGAGAGCTTCCATTTCATTTTTTGAAATTGGGGCGTTTCCAATACTGGTCTTTACCTTTAATTTCGTGTTATTCTATTATGCATAAATATTAGCTTATGTAGTAAAATGATGTAATTTTTTCTATATTTTATTTTGTTGTACAAGAAGTGTTACCTCATGTGTGTCTGTTTGTTTGTGTCTGTTGACGTTATATATGTTGACGATATAGATAATGTGATAGGCCGTTGCAAGGATTTATTTGAAATCTGTCCTTTTCAACCCTTGCTTCGGTTTAAAAATTTATCAACGTTTAAATAAAGGACGGGCTGAAACCGGAAAGGACGTGGAGTAGATATAGATATCATTGTAACATCTTTTTTATGCAGGTGAAAAATTTATTCGTTGTATGCCCCTAGCAAATAGATATAATAATTGAAAACTGTAACATATCTCTTTTCTTTTTACTTTTATTAGATAAGCGGCATATACAAAGAATTTGAATTGTTCATATCACAGCCGACAAACCAAAAATCTCTCGAAAAGTGATTTTGTTTCAATTATCGGATCAACTCAATTCAAGTTCAAGTTTAATTTAAAATATATTCAATTAGATAGTAATTCAATTAAACAGCTGTTTTCGGCGTCGGGAAAATAACGTAGAGCCAATATTGGGTGGCGGACATTCTATTTTGATGTTGGCCCAATTTCAAAATAATGATGTTGAACCAATGTCAGAATATACTGTTAGCCCAACGTAATTTCCCGTCGTGGTACCCTCAAGATCGAGCCAACATCAGAATTTAGTGTTGGCCCGATACATCAAGGTATATTGGCCTAACGTTGGCCCTTGTCCATGTCTTATGTCGTATTGCTAGTTGGGAGTGAGGTTTCTATCATCTTAACACAGACACATAAAAACACACCCACAAACGCACACCCACTCACACAAGCACAGTTTTAGTTAGTTTAATACAAACAATCTTCATTCAAATGGTTGTTCTTCCCGCCCTGTATGCCTACCCATTTACATCACCTGGGTGGAGAGTGGCAACTGTAGATTAAGTAAAGGACATAATGTGCCACTGCGGGACTCGAACCACGAACCATGCGATCCACAGTCCTTTTTATACACATTTGAAAATGTGGCACGGTCAATCATATAGTAGTCATTTTACATTACATTTTTTCCTCCTCATTTAAAGAGCAAATATTGCAGAACACCTGAAATTTGGGAGTGTTTCAAGAAGGGGAGTTGGGGCCCATAAAATTAACCAATTTAAGCAGAGCACGTGTAGAATATCAATGTAAGAACCTGTGACATTCCCCACCCCCACCGTCCCCTCCCCCAGAATAACAAAGACAATGCCTGCTTAATAGATAAACGATGTTGTTTGGAACTATGAACAGAAATGGTTATCCTTGAATTGACAGCATATTTCAAAGTAAATGCAGTGTTCGAATAAATCATTATATACGCCCCTCGACCCCAACTAGAGTATGAATAGAGCTCGACATCTGTTCGTACATTATGATTTAGAATGTGTCATACGCTGCGAAGAGAAAAAAAAATATTCATTTTTTTTTTAAATTTCAACCTTGAAACATTTGCTTGCAACACAATAGCCAATTGGTGTTTGCTGAATCTTAGGTCAAAACCGTACAATCATGTGAATAGTATCGACAGTATCCGTCTCTACACAAGGAGTCGAAATGACAGAAACATAGACACTTATGTGGTTGACATAAAGTTTTAAGTTCAAAATTCTAATCCAGTTTATAGTTGGTAAAGTTTAGTCAATGCACGATAGGGCCAACCCGATCGCTAATAACATAAATAGTCGACAAGGTATTCATCAGTACAGTATTAACGGATAGATGTTAGCTGTAACTGGCCGAATATCCTCATATTTATGTGTCGAGTTGACCGAATATATGATATTTTGTTTTCATGTATATTCCTCTGCGAGGTGCCCGCATATTTGATTGTATGTCATATCTAGTGTGTGTTGATTACAAAATGAATGTTGTTTCCCACATTAACAAACGAAAATTGCTTGCTCACAAAGTTTAGAACCAAATATGCCAGTACATGTGTACATGGCAAACCACGAGTGCCATTGTGATGTAAACTGAATCATATAGTGAAGCATTTTATTCCTTAAAAGGATGCCGTGAATAAAAGAATAAGTGGAAAAGCATTGATCGTGTAGACTAATGAGTGGTTTATACCTGCACGGAACTTTATTTATCAATTTCTCTGAGTCTATAAGTTAATCAATATAATTCTGAGAAGATATGAAGTAAGTCACATGAATACATAACAAGGGAAACGCTCTTGGCGGTCTCGCCTGCATTACGCAATTTGATATGATGAAAAATTAAGGTTGGAACATTATTCATAGGCAGGATGGCCCATTAGCAGGCCCCAAAAAATGAAATCCTCTGAATATAATCAGCATTTTGAAGTGACTATTGACCAAGAATCATCAGAAGAATATTTACTATTAATAATTGAACCAGGATCGATAATTTGAATCAAATATGAACAAATTAATTTTAAAAAAATGATTTATTAATTCTCATATTAAGTTGTGAAAACATAATTCAAGTCTACTGACCTAAAATTACCTTTGACCTTGTGACCTGGAATTTGTGTCATATGATTTGTGATACTTGATAACCCTTGGGTACAAGTTTCATGGAATTTAATATGCTCAAACTTGAAAATGTTTGCTTTTACTAAATGGAAAAATGACGGTGGGGGGTTGTATGAAATGGACATAATGAACCAAGCAGAAGTGATCTATGATAATTCATGCTTCTTAACCTTCGTGTGCTTGACCCATAATCTTAAAATCGCTTTGGCAAACTGAGTCCAAAGTTCGACTTGTTTCACATGTGTATTATAGGCAATGACGAGCTTGCAACCTATTTTGATTAAATTAAGTTGGTTGAACTTTCAAAAGTCAATGGGACATGAGGGTTCCGATAAAAGAGCTAGTGATAACGTAAGTCGGGGTGGATGTGCTTTTCGTTTAAACAAAAAATGAATTGTTAAAGATTTTTTGTTTGTACAATTCCATAGGCTAACATGTATGGCTGCTGACTCTGACGATAAGGGGCGTTGTGAAATGAGACTAAACGGAGCTATATGATGTTGATGCCACAACAAAGTCTAAGTTTGTTGACCTTAAATGAACTTTGACCTTAACTTAATGGCCTGAAATTCTACTCATATGATTGGGGATACTTGATAACCCTATAGTCCAAGTTTCATTGACTAAGAACTTATACTTTCAAAATTATATGAAAAATTCAAAAACTTAACCTTAGGTTAAGTTTTCGATAATGATGCCACAACATGGTCCAAGTCTGTTGACCTGAAATGACCTTTGACCTTGACTTTGTGACCTGGTATTCTACTCACATGATTGGGAATACTTGATAACCCTATAGTTCAAGTTTCATTGACTAAGAACTTATACTTTACAAATTATATCAAAAATTCATAAACTTAACCTTAGGGTAGGTTTCTGATGTTGACGCCGCCGCCGCCACCGGAAAAGCGGCGCCTATGTCTCGCTTTTTTGCTTCGCAGGCGAGACAAAAACTAGAAACTGATCACCATCTATTGCGCTTTGAGGAAAAACAGACTCTATCGATCGCGGGACATTGCTACAATTTCGTTTCGGGTCAATATTTTCACATCTCTACTATTTCTACGTTCGCTAACTGAGCGGAGAGCAGTTCAACTCATCGCGTGGCTGCAGTGACGGAATGTAATATGGCTTGATCGTATCTTTGTTTGTTAAAAGGTTTTTATGAGGACAATTTGTTATATTGGAGTAACTAATTGGCAATATCGACAGTATTTCAAATGTTCACCACGTTTTATCATTGTGATCAACTACCAAATGTAAAACAATTCAACAATAGTGATAGACCAACACGTTAACGCAGAAGGACATGAAGACTTGATCCCTCTGAAAAGCGCAATAATTATTCAACATACTAATGGACCCTACTCTTTTTATCAGTGGAATTAACCAGTTGACATGTCGAGATACGGAAAGGTGCAGCTTATGATCTTAGCGTTTGCTACTTCATGTATTATCATCTACCATAACTGCTCCACGTCGTATCGATTAGAACAAGTCATCAAAGGAAAATTACTACAAAGAGCTAGTTTTTCAAATGTGACAAAGAAAAAAATAAACGCTGTGGAATATAATGTCACGGCACAAATACCACCCGAACAGAAACCCATTCCGGCTCCATTGCTCGGATGGCGGAAAAATGTACACTGGGAGCCAGGAGCTGAGCTGGATATATATGATTTTTTAATCAATCCTGTTGATAAGTGCAACACTGGAAAAGATAATTTCACATTACTTGTCTTAATTAAATCAGCACCAGGTAATACTGAACGCAGGGATGCTGCCAGGCGGACATTAATCGATGGGGCCCTGAAATTTAATGTGTCCACTAGGTTGCTTTTTATCATGGGAGATTCCGAAGCACAAGACAAGAGGGAAAAGATTCAGGAAGAAGCCCGAAGACATAGAGATATCCTAAAGGTGGGCTTCCACGACGGTTATTACAATCTCACCATCAAACTCGTCATGGGGTTTAAATGGGCCTTGCAGTTTTGCAACAACAGTGAATTCTTAATGTCAATGGATGACGATGTCATGGTTGATATCGTGACCCTGGTCAACGACCTCGACGCTTTACCACCACAGGATCACTTTCAATTCGTGCTGGGAGATATAAGAGCGTGGACTAAACCGTTTCGTAACGTATGGAGTAAATGGTACATGCCAGAGGACATCTACCCTGATGAGACGTACCCTCCATATCCATTAGGGCCTGGGTATGTTATGTCACATCACGTAGTCAAAAAACTCTATCTGATATCCAGAGAAACCCCAGCAACGATACCGTTTGACGATGTTTATTGCGGTATGCTCTTGCATAAGTTAAACATCAGCATCGTTCACCGACCTAGATGGTTTAAAGACCGCCATCCGCAAAAGAAAAAGCAGGATTATTTAAAGATTGAGTTATCACCGCAGAAAATGGAGAAAGCTTGGACAAGTTTTGAAGAAGACTTTGAAAAATAGAATTCTCAGCCCCGTCTCATAAAGAGTTTATTTAGTTATTTATTTATTTCTGGTATTGAGACAGGGTGACTCATTATCACTAATAATGGTGGTTTTCCATGAGGCCCTGTTAATCTTATTCAAAAACAATAGTTACTAAAACCATATATGTACAGTAATAATAATAATAATAATAATAATAATAATAATAATAATAATAATAATAATAATAACAAAATCAACAACAAATAAGTCGGAACATGTATCAACATATATACAATATTTGGTATCCTCGTAATGAAAAAATGGTTCGTTTGGTTTGTTTTGCTTTGTTTTGCCTTGCTTTCTTGTTCAAGAAAACGTTGCTGCATATTTATAATATTTATTATAACTCAATATTATTATTGTTTTCATTATATATGATTTAAGTACTATGTATTGTTATATCTGGATTCATTTAAAACTGTTAAAGCATAATAATGATGTTTATATGTCTATGGAATTATTTTTACCTTGTAAATTCACTAGCATCAGGCTCCAGCTGTATTGTTGAATGTTAGAATAAAACCTTATCAAATCACATCAAACATAATAGTATAGACTGTAATTAATTTTTAAATCCGATGGAAAGTAAATATTAGCATATTTAGGTATGTATTAGACTTTAAAAAAGGCAACATGTACTTTTGAGAGTTCATAAACAAAGTAGAAAAACTACTTTGGCTCAGTTCAGAAAGTCATTAGGGATACCAAAATTGTTATATACATATTTATAACAACAAAAAGATTACAGGATAGTAAATTACTGGATAATATGCAAAATTAATGCATGCAATCTACATGTAGTAAAGCAATCGGATGTACACTCTTAAATAAAAGTAAAAATACTAATATATTTATAATTGATAATGAATTGTATGAAATCATTCTTTCAGTTTGAAAAGGCTCATGTCGTCCTATTGTAAGAAACAGACGATCAAATATTTTGTGCAAGCAGGACAAATTGCAAATGTTATATCCTTGACAAAGTCAAGAAAGTAAAAAGCATCAAGTGAAATTGTCCTAACAATCAGGATGTGTGACATGAATACCATATTTTATCATGTTGTTCTGCAAGCGCATCATTAACCAATAGTTTGATTTTGAACAAGAAAATGTGCTAGAACGCTAAAAGGAATGAAAGTGAAACTTTAGTTAAGACACTAAACAAAATTCCTCTCGTCATTTCATCTTATTGGGAATCGGTTTTTAATGTTTTTAAAGTGTTCACATATCTTGGCATTCTCAATGATTTATTCAACTGATTCCATGCTATAATTGAAGATACGAGGGGCTCTGCTTAAAGCATTCTGTTTCATATTTTGGCACATAAAGTAAACCATCTGCCTGCCTCGTATTATACTGATGAATGTCACTTAATTTAATTAAACTTTTTGTGTAAATAGGATGGCGCCAAATGATTGGTGCATTTGTACATCATATTAACACGCTGAATTTCAAAATGTTTCTCATTTTGCATCCATTTCAGATTGCTAATTAATTAACGTTATTTAGTGTAGTAACTTTTTGTTTGAAATCATTTTGAAAGCTCGTTTCTTTTAACTGTCTTGAGTTTATCCGTTTGTTCCTGATACTGATTTGACCTTACAGAGGAACAATAATCAATGTGAGTCCATACGAGTGCATTATACAGCAACTTAAAAGATGTTATTAGTAAATTGTCTTTAGCCCGTTTTATTACACTGATATTTCATTGCGTTACTTTTGTTACTTTTCCAACAAGCTTTGACCAATTAGATTCTTCATCAAGTATTATACCAAGACATTTGACGACGTTGACTCTTTTCAGTACCTTTCCATTTATAGAAAGGTTGAAGGTTGTTGTTTTGTTTAAATTTGCACGCGAAGCTATGACCACGACACATGTTTTTTTCTGTGTTTGGTACAAGGCGGTTTTGACTAACCCATACCATTAAAAAGTATCTAAACCATTTCACACATTCTTTAGAACGTCCAAAAGCAGTCAATATTCTTAATAAAAGATTGTGATCAACGGCGTCAAGTGCCTTATTACGAAGGTCGATAAAAGCAAACCAGTCGCAAATTGGCTGTCTCCTATTTCTTATGTACAAAGCTGCGATTGATATCAATCGCAAATAAGTTCCGATTAATCGCAAATGTTTATAAGACAGGGCACTGGTTTGCATTACCATTGGACTCGTACATTAATCAAATTAATATTGGATAAATTATTATGTGAGCCTCTATTTGTATAAATTCGATAAATATCAAGTTCAATCCAGCAATTTTTTAATCGTATATTCTTGAAGTCTAATGCTTAAACTTACACGAAGCTAAATTGTTTGAAAATTGAAGTTCCAATACTGTTAATATAAATGCTAAAATATATATGCATGAATTAATTAAAGTATAACAAATACATTTTCCACCACCTGATTGAGCTTTGATAATTTTCACCACTATGTAGTGAAATCATATCCTTCCTCGCTCCCTATGCAAGTCATTCAGTTGAAGGAAAAAGGCATTTTGATTAAGTGTGTAATAATTAATATGCATAATTGAGGCAGAGTAATAAGTTTCACGCTTTGTTACGGACACATTTAAGTATGTCTGTACTAGTTGCTGTTCTTCATTTAAGTCCTTCTTATCTTATACACGGGGTGGAATGGTGGGTGTTATAGTTACTTGGAATATATAGTTGTTAAGATAGTAATGACTTCCCGTGTTCGGTTTATTAAACGTTCAGGTGGTGGAAACATATGGTGGAAAAAGGTGAATATTCTGCTTTTTTTTGGCTCGTTACCCTCTTCCATTCAGTGTATTTCTGTTTCTTTCTTTTTTCTTTCTGTATTTGTCCCAAATTATATTGAACTAGTATACAATTACTTGTCAAATTACTGCCCTTTTACATTTGATTATGTACGTCTCTCTAAAGTAAATATATTCTGTCCCGGTCATTTTTCCATGTCTCTTAGGAACCTATTCTTTACAAGCTATGCTTTTCTAAAGCTTCCGGCACATTTCACAATAAGGTACTTTTCTTGTCTTGGTTTCCTTTAGCATACTAATAGTTGTCAAACATGTTTGGTGATATATAATTTATAGTTTGATTAATTTGTTAATTACTATAATCGTTTTTTTAAATTATGAAACAATATGTATTTTGTGTATATTTGTTATCTGTAGTGGATCTGCATGTAAAATATGAAACCATTTAAGTCAAACTCAATCTCAATAAACTTTAATATTAACGCACTCTGTTTCATTTTGTTAATGTTAATATTACTATTATTATTAATTAATCAATTTATTGAAGCTATTGTTGGACCCTGAGGATGAATAGATAAGAAAAATTGGCGGTAGATCTCATTTTATATTTTGTTTTCCTAGAATAGTTCATGTAAAATGTTTTAGTGTTTTGTTTCTTTAATATGTGTAATAATATTTGTATTTCATAGTTTATGATCGTAAAAAAAACCAACGAACCAACCAACCCACATTAAGTCTTGGTAAAGACTAAGTTACACTGGAGTTTCGACCGGGAGGCGTTATTTTTTTCGGCGGCACAGATTGGGGTTATAATGATGAATGTCACTTAATTTAATTAAACTTTTTTTGTCAATGGGATGGCGCCAAATGATGTGTGCATTTGTACATCATATTAACACGCTGAATTTCAAAACGTTTCTCAATTTGCATCCATTTCAGATTGCTAATTAATTAACGTTAAGTAGTCTCGTAACTTTTGTTTGAAATTATTCTAGCAGCTAGTTTCTTTAAACTGTCTTGAGTTTATCCGTTTGTTCCAGATACTGATTTGACCTTATACAGAGGAACGATAATCAAAGTGAGTCCATACGAGTGCATTATACAGCAATTTTAAAGATGTTGTTGGTAAATTTTTCACCCATACCTCCTCTCTCTCCCTGTCACTCTCTCTCTCTCTCTCTCTCTCACTCACTCTTTTTTTGTCTCACATTTTCTCTCTCTCTCTCTCGTTGTTATGAAAATCTTTCATTACGTTAATCAAACTGGTTTTAAAGTGCAAGGGACATAAATACATACTCATTCTGTCTCTTTTCCTGTATGTCTCTTATCTTTTACTCTTCACTCCATATGTGATCCATCTCTCCTTGACAATACTTCAAACTCGCAGGCCTAATTACCCAAATCCTTTTTCAATAATTTGACAAACATATAGATATTACCAGGGAGTTGTGAGTTTTTACAGCTAACATCTCAAAGTTATTACTGTACTGATAAATACCGTGTCAACTATGTCCTCATTAAATAAACTGGAATTGAACTTTTTGCCAACCACATTTATACTCAATCTCTTGCTTGAAACGGTTTACAGAAATAATTATCAAGGAGTTTGCAGCCTATTTCAATGTACATATAAGTAATGGTCGTATATATTTCATGGCGTCCCTCTAACAAGACGAGAGAATGTATAAAGCTCGAAACATGTTCGTATAGATTTAGAGTTTGCCATACACTGTGAGAAAAATATATATTATGCGTCTGTGATTTCAACTGTGGATCTTTTGCTATCAACACAATAGCGAACGCCACTTTCATAGCTCTATATCTATAGCCAAGCCAAACCAAAAATGCAACATCGACAGAACTGCTTGGTTAATAACCCACACAGGTCTATTTGCAAGCCCAATACTTGACTATCAGATTTATTGGATAACATGAAGAAACACTGTTTTATGACTGTTACTTCCTCAGTCCAGAAGCTATCATTACTATTCTTATTACTATTATTATCGCTATAATTATAATAATCACTATCACCATTGCTTTAACTAATTTGAGAGCGTTTTTAAACTCAAACTTGGAATTGTTATATTCATCAAAAGTGTTTGTTTGAAAATTAAATTCTTTCAACCAAGGACTACAGATTTATACCTCTCTTTACTCTATCAACCTTTTTTGTAGTGAGATATGGAGAAGGTAGAAGTGATGCACATTTCCCGTCATTTTCTATGCAGTCTGAGATGCCTGAAAGATAACATAACATGGATGAGAATGGTAAGAGAGACGGAGAGAGAGAGAGTTA